AGGGCTTAAGGTTAGTTCACACCATAAGCAGTGCGCTCTGGTCCAATTCTGGCCAGAACGCACTGCCCGCATTTGCACCGTAGCCACGGCCGCAGGACTGAGTGACGCGCTGGACGCAGGGCTTGGTGACGCGCTGTACGCAGGGCTTAGTGATGCGCTGGACGCAGGGCTTAGTGACGCGTTGGACTCTGGGATTAATGAGGATGCACTGGACGTAGGGCTTAGTGACGACGTGCCGGATGCAAGGCTTAGTGACGATGCGCTGGAAGCAGGACACACCTGAGAGTGACCCTGCAGAGCCCACCATAAATGCTGCACAGCCCATCTGAGACTGTCTATGGTGGGCTCTGAAGGGGTCTCAAGTGGGCTGGTCAAGGCTGCATCCCCCTCCCTCACAGCTCCTCTTACCTGCACACTAACGTGACGTCACTTCCGCCAGTCCGCCTTCAGACGAGCAACGTCCCTGATGGGGCCCCAGCTTGTCTCAAAGCCGCTGGAGCGGCAATGCTGGGGCCCTGCGCGGCTAGGGCAAGGCCTCCGCCGCTGATGCCTTCACTGTCGGCCGATACTCATGTAAGGGTCCCAGATGGGCCCCGGAGGCTGCCCAGGCCCCTTACATGAGCAAGGCATTGTGAGAAATGACCCGAATTGAGATGACCCAGAAGCACAAAAAAAGCAGAAGCTGCTACTCAGAAGATGCGGGGATATGCAGCGTTTTTAAAAGTAGGAAAAGATTTTGGCACATAATAACAAAGCCTTTTTATTTATTTCACAATGCTTGATCTGAATACCTAATATGATGCTAGTGCCCATAGATCCCCTTTAAGAACAAGAATGACATCTAGTGGTCAGTCGGGGAAAAGACTCTAAAGCCTCACGTTATGAGCAACAGAGAGATACTGGGGGGGAGTTTATCAAAACTGGAGCAGGCAAAATCTGGAGCCCATGTGAATGGTAACCAATCAGCTTCTCTCTTCAGTTTGTTCAGTTAAGATTTGAAAATGAAAGAGAGAAGCTGATTGTTTGCCATGCACAACTGCTCCAGATTTTGTCTGCTCCGATAAAAAATCGGCAGCCTGACTAGGGAAATGAGACACATCTCCTGCATGAGGAAAACAACAGTTTATGACAGGGTCGCTACACTATAAAGGTTTCATGAGAGCATCCACAGATGGAAACTTCTAATGGATAACATCGTAACATTGGAATTATTCTGTTGTGACACTACAAAGACTGATTAATAAATGGATTTGTGACTGCTTTTCAAATTACTGACGGATAGTAATCTGCTTACAGAGGTAACTGAGAACATAAAATACTTTAGCGGGTAAAATAGCATTTCATCTATGAATAAAATAATAATCTAAGAAACAAGGAACAAAAGAAAGCTTTTTAATAATAAAAACACGCAGCTCTAAGGCTGTACTTACAACAATTCAGTTGAATAAAAACCAGTAGAGTAGGATGAGAAGTCGGAACCTCTGGCAGGAAGAGTCTGGAGTGATAAAATTCACCAGCGTCCTCTATCCCTGTGTTAGCAAAAGGTTTACGCGTTTCTGGGGCACGCCCCCTTCATCAGAACCTATTAATAATCTACTATATTAAAAGTGGATATCTTGTGGAAGGAAATTTTCGATAAAGAGTAAAGTCAGTACCAAGAAACATCTTCCAAGCCCCTTCCCACAACAAGAACTACAACTCAGAATAAACTCATTGAATTATAATCTGGCATCTTTATATTTAATTAAATAATGCCTTATAAATATGTTATTTTTACAATTAGACATTGCTGTGCTTTCATTCTTGGTCTCAGAATTCCTGGCAAAAGCTCATTTCTGGTAACCAAGAGAGAAACCGATAAGTTCTTTTGTTGCCCACTAGTTTTCCAGAAGAGGTCAGTGGTAAAGATTTAATGATGTATGTTGGTGATTTTTTCAGATGTACAAGTAGAATGACAATACAATCTTATATGTAGCTTTTATAGTTTGTGTCAATCATTAAGCACGCCTATGTTCAAAAATGTATTTCTCTAACATTTCCTCCATTTTTTATTTTAGTATTATGTATTATTTTAAATAAGATTATTGAAATACATTTCTAAAACCCTGGAAGGAGTGACAATGTACATTAACCCATAGAAACCAATTACATTTTAGCAGTGGAGTCAGAACCATGAAAGAAGATTTTACTAAACTAGGCTTTCTTCTTCTCATTGAAAACATCTACGTAGAATTATTATTATGTTGAAAAGAAATATAACCTCAATTAAATGTTAAAGCACATTTTTTTTGAAGTTGTCTTAGACTGATTCAGTGAGGTCCTGAGGTCCTCTTCTTTGTGGAGTGGCAATGGATGGTCTTCAATAATACAGAGAATAGTACTTGTAGTGATGCTGGTGGTGTTCTCTGCTTTGACCTCCTGGGTTCATAGGAAGTGGGTTGAATGGTACTTGGAATCATTCAACCTGGAAAAGGAGAGGTGGCCAGGTTCAATGAAGAAGATGGAGTGCTGGAGAAAGTGTATAATGCTTTAGGATTGTTTATATTTAAACTGGGGGTTTATAAACAGTGATATTGCTACAATAAACAAGAATATGATGTATGTGTTTTTATAAACTACTGAAAATAAATATTTTAGTCATCTCTTTTTTCCAGATCATTGCCAGACAAATTCAAAGTTTACTTCTAATCCCAAAACTAAGGGCTATGATCTAAAACAATGCACTCCTAAGAACGTTTTTATGGGGAGATATGAGACCTCTTCATGAGAAAAGGGCTGTAGTAACATGCCAGTGAAAAGCAATTCAGAGTTGAAGTACCACCCCATTGTTTACAACCCATTGTTTACCATAAAAAAAAAATGAATCAGCAAAAGGTTTGACAGAAGCATGTTTCAGGAAATCAACTTCATGCCTATATTGCAAGTATGTGGGTGGCCAGTTGTTGATGCTGAAGTCTCCACAGAAGAGAAAGAAGACAGAGGCTTTAAAGTAGAAAGCACATCAATATATACTAGGTGTATGATCAGCTATTTTGCTGTATGACTTTGGCACTCCCCTCCGACTTATAACCTGAATTTGTAAAGCCATATAAGGTGCTCTGTTGGACAGTAGGATGTCGGAGAGAGTGCTTACGTCAGAGCTGCCTAATAGTTGTTATCCACTTTAGATAATCTTGCAGCCACCTTTCTATGCAGCAACAACTATGCACCCACAATCCCTTTATTCTGTATTCCAGCACATATGTCTGGCAGCAAAAGGAGGACAAAAATTAGAAAAGAACAAAACAATATCTAAATAAGTATTTCCTCTTGCAGAATCGCACACCCCACCCAAACCTATCATTCATGGTTGCCATTATGTAAGATATGGTTGTGACTGTAAAAACTGACTTATAGGGCATTACCAACCTCTGTTGATCCATTTTCTGATATTTTTTTTATTTAGTATTTTTCTTACTTGCAATGTTAGCATTAATGTGAAATGCATGTGAAGCTTCCAGTAAATCCAGGTTGCGGTAGTAACTAGTCACGTTCAACATGTTTTGTCATGTGGAAAACATTTCATGTAAAACAACTTTTCTTGTGTTAAATTTTGAACACAGCTTAGCATTTTTTTCTCATATCATAAATCTGAATAAAAACATGATAAAACCTTGGATACAAATGTGCTTTAAATGCAGGCCTATTTTTTAGAGAGTCTGTTTTATATTAAGAGCAGCAGGTCTGTTAGACCCTATTCGCATATAACAGATAATGGCAGTTTCCAGGTAAATCTCAGGTCTGAAGTCAGGCAATATCCAACAAGTTCCTACAAAGAAGATGTCATGCTGCTAGATGCAGGTGAGTCAAGTAGGGACCACTTTTAGTTCAAGTGCAGTTTCAGAGTGGAAAGTCCTTTAAAGCAGAACTGTAGTTAGGCTGCTCTTGCCATTAAGTACAAGTATAAACAGAATACTTGGACATCATATCAGACTCATATGGCTGTTTGTTCATTTCCAGTGTTGACAGATTAGAGCTGTCTCTTTCTGTTCCTTCTCACTCCATCCAATGACACTGTCTATCTTCTCCTGGTCTTCCTCTGACTTCCTATAGTTCATTCCAAGCCATTTAGTGGCCACTGATGTTGTAGCCTCTGCACATGCTGTGTCCCAGCACCCAACTCCAACATCTTGCAGATGCCATGGTTCGACAGTGTACAATGTTACAGTTCATGTAGTGTACACTAATTCAAATTTACTAAAAGCTCTTTTTTTTTCTTTCTCTCTTCTTCACTTTCCATATTTGTTATGTTTATTTGAGGTCCCTAGTAATTACTTTTGCCTTTTTATTGGGCTTAGCTCCTCTAGTATGCATTGGTATGGTATCTGCCCCTCAGTATGTAACATAGGCATTTATTACTCTGGTATATCTGTTTGTGGGTCTTGTGAATTTCTAGGATTAAAGTACGCTACCTTGTTTTGTAATAATAGCCTTGACGTTGTTACTTATCACCATTGGTTGGTTATTCTTATCTGTACTTTCTCTTGTAAGGGACCCATTATTTCTTTATTGTTTGTTTTATTGACGCTGTGTTTGTGTCTATGAACCTAAAATATGTTTGGAATTGAAATATACTAAAACCAAGAGGAAGGTTTTTCTTCCAGCAGAAGAGACACTTAACCTATCTTCTAGCAATTTTTGTTAAACACTTTAATAAGAAGCTGAGGAAGAGGGAACCTCACCCTAGTTACTGCACAGAAAGGTTACAACCAAAGCTCCCATTTTCATTTGAAACAAAAAATAATTTACCTTATATGAATATTGCAAGCATGACAGCACATGCAAAAAAAATTTCTAATAATTTTTAGAATACGTTTATGAAAAATAAAATCACACAGAATACCATCATATGATATAAGTGCTTTAATATTAAAGGGGAAAGTTAAACATATTTAGTTTCCATACAGAAACTTTATAGATATGGCAGTATAGTTATTCACAGTTGCCTGTGAGCTATGAATTTAAGTAAGTTGTTGCCTCCTTCTCCGTACGGACCGGCGAGCTCTGGCAAGCGAATGTTCCTCCGATGAGTGGGAAGATTCACAGTCGGTATTGACACAGCTACACTCTTCCACATCAACATACTCATGTTCCACTTTACTTCCATCACTACAGTTCAGCATCACACGTCTCTTGGTGGTCCGCACATCCTGGCAACAGGTGCACTTATGTGACATTGTCCTGGCAGCTGCTGAGTATCTGAAAGATGAAATTAAATTGAAAGAGATTAGTGTTACAATTCTAAGTAAGTGAGCTGGATGGGCTTCTTAAATTGTTTTGGCATTGCAGTTATAAGACACCCTGGTTATATTTTTGCACACCATTTTATGGGAATGCAATGAGAATATGCACGTTTATGAGAATAAAGGCAAATAAAGTTTATATATCCACTTTTTACTAACTTTTATTAAAGCAAGCAGTGTAAGAACTTTTAAGTGCCTACTTAGAAAACAATCAATTTCAGTAATGTTATTAGAATTGATATCCAGGTACAACAACTCAAAAAATCCCCCAACTCCCCAAATGATTTTGAAAAAAACCTGAACTGTAAGGTGTTTGGACAAAAGTATCAATAAAACAAGTACTGTATACAAGATTTATTTTTTGTTTGTAACATCTGCAAAACCTGGAAAACTTGACAAATGTGTTATATATTAGCAAATGATAAGGAATATTATGCATGCATTCATTTAGTATTGAATAGTGGTTTACTTTCACTAAAATGGAAAATCATTTTTAAATGTTTTTATTCACGTGTGTGTAATATTTTGTTTCGCGCGCGCACGCAATTTTAAGGCTTGACATGTTTGGTGTCTCTTTACCCGACGTGACCCCGAATTTTATATTTTACCAAAAAATTTGGTAATAATAAATGTTTTAGAATTTAATATAGGGGGAACTGTTTTTTTAAAAAAAAATCTGTAGTTTTTCCTTAATATATTAAAAAATAAAAACCCCAGTAGTGAATAAATACCACCAAAATAAAGCTCTATGTGTCCCCAAAAAAGGGTCTAAAATTAATTTCAGTACAGCGCTACATGACGGAATAAATGTCAGTCAAAGTACCGCAGCGCTGAATACTGAAAAATGGCCTGGATGGGGAAGGGGTTTAACACCCCGGATGTCAACTGGTTAATCATTAAAGTTTGGGTACTTTGTTGCATATATTCAGGATATATAAAATTATTTTTTTTCAGATATATCTTCTATTAGAGAGAATATATTTATAATTTTTGAAACACTATCAAGTCACAGGGTGGGGGTGGGAAAGAGACATGTGTGTGTGACTGCAAAGAAAAAAATCATGTGCCCTTCCCTATCAAACAGGGCTGTGCTATGTGGCAGAACTGTGTAAATCTCAGGAATATGGCAGGTATAACAGCTTCCTTAAACACATTTCATCTGTGTATTTATAAGAGCTGTTCGCCTGGTGTTCAGCTTTAAATATTATATACATTCTACTTCAGCTATAAGGTCTCGTTCACACCTAGGCGTATTGCATATGCGCGTCTGTCGAGGGTTTTTGTACCGCAATTTGCGGTAAAAAGTTGCGTGACAAACGCGCGTTTCCGAAGGCTACTTGGCTGTATCCCAATGGAAACGCACAACAAAACGGCCCAAAGTAGTACATGTACCTTTTCAGGCATGGGCCGTTTTGTAGAGCGTTAGGGACGGGCGGAAATACGCCAAGGTGGGAACGAGGCCATTGAATACAATGGGATTTATATTTTTGAGCGTTTTGTAGAGCGTTCGTAGAACGCGCTACAAAACGTTCAGGTGTGAACGAGGGCTAAATATCATAAACATTTCCAATGAAATATAAGAACCTTTAAGATGGTACTAAATGGAAGTAAGATGAGGCATAGGTGGTTATTCACAAAAAGGGTGAAGAGTTTGGAGAAGACAAGAGAAGTGAACAATCGAGGCCAACATAGCTGATGAGGAAAAATTCTCCAATTCAGCTCACTTTCCAGTTCAGCTATTTTGGCCTAGATTGTTCACGTCTCCAAACTCTTCACCTTTTTGTGAATAACCCTCATAATGTTACTGTGTGCTTGCACTAAAATTGTTTATGCCTTTATTTTTGACTGTGGAAAGAGCCCCATTATGCACCCTATATGCCTGATGACCAAACACCCATTGTGTACTATTTAATAATTGAATATATAATTTAATATAAATGTGGTGACAATTTTCCCCCTATCATGGGATAACCCATAAAGTCTTCCACTAGAGAATCATATCCAGGCAAATGGACTTGTTATTCTCATTTAGAATTCCCCTGCTATGACTATTTTCAATATATTATCAGATAGTTTTGAGAATTACCATGTCTATGGCCAGTTTAAGAATAGCATGAAAGGGATTTACATCTCCTCTACAATGTATTATGTTCAAGGAGAAGCCCAGTCAGTGGGGTTAAATGTAGCATGTAAGGTTAGTGTCAAATATGAAGGTCATGCATTACTGCCTTACTTATCTTGTTAGTCTTCTGGCATAAAGTCTCACACATTGTACTTTTGTGTAGTACCATTTCCAGCTCCATCTTCCTGGCCAATTGAAAATTCCAAATGACTTATATTAATCTAATAATTAGCTCTGGAAGAGGAATCTACTAATGGTATCTTAGAGTACATTTTTAGCATGCAGTATCTGGGACTCAATGTGCATATCACCCGGTTTAATAAAAACTAATTTAGCAGAATGCTTTATGTATCAACTTTAGGAGAATTGGGGGGAAATCACAAAGCCAATGAAAGATAATGGGTACAATTATTTGTTTCTGTCTAGCTTAGCTTAATTATTTAAATCTAACAATTCAGTAACAATGCTTCATTTACAAGGTCTATAAATTGATTAACTGCCATTCGGTTTCAATAAAAGAACACAAGTTGATAAAAAGTTGTTGTAATGCACTGAGATCTGAGAGTAAAAGGTGATAGAAGTTGATAGTGGGTTTCTCTGCTATGTGTGCTCAGTGTGACTAGTAAGTTTCACTATGCTGTACGAAAACAGTTATTGGTTGTGTTTACCTTTCAAGTTCAAGCTTTCATTAATGGCTTAACAAACACTCCTACTTGCAGGAGTAGTCTATAACCCAAGTAGGCATTTAGAACTCTGCAAGTCCATGTCAAGTACTGGTATTATATTTGTTTATGTTTTTTGTTTGTTTTAGCAAAGCATAAACTCACGTCTAGAAACCCAGTGGAAGCTCTAATACACATTTTATGGCAAGTCAAAAGAATGCAGTAGTCCTTAACAATAATATTGACCTACAGTACTATGTTATTTACACATCTTATACATTGTATGTCATCCATATCAATAACATTTCTCTCAAAGTGACTCTATTGCTAAAAATAGAGATGCCAACAAAAGGTCCCCCTGCAAATACTTACTTCTCCTACTTTCTGTGCTGCGCTAATGACGAAAAATGTTCCTTGAAATTCTCTTGAGAAACCAGAACTTCCAACATTTTCAATCCCTTGGTCCCCTGCTGTGCTAAGTAGTTCCTTCTGCCATTCCCTACATCACTACAGAACATAGTGAAGTAGGGGACAGCGGATTGAACCTCTAAGCGCAGAAAAGTACCAGGTGATCAATACTCCCAGAAGTGTTTTCTGAAGAGACATTCAGGGATGATTTTTCTTCATCATTTGTTAGGTGAAGCAAGTAACAAGGAGAAGTATTTACTTGCTTCCTTTTAGGGAGAGCTTTTGTTGGCATTTCTTTTTTAAGAACAGAGTTGCTTTCATATAAATATGCTCAATATAACCATTTAAAGGATTAAGATCTTACATTGAAAAGGTGTTGCAGGACCCTTCACAACGTGACATCCTCACTCTTTCTACTGATTGGCAATTATTGTAAGTTAGATGGTCATAGTATTGTTGCAACTCGCAAGATTTGCTCTTTTTAATACCTGTAGGATTAAGAATATCAAATATTATTCAAAGCCATGTTTGCTAAAGCATCAAAAGACAGAAATATAATACATTTTTATTGGAAAAAAAGAATTATTATTTTTAGCCTAGAGACTGTAATTTCTCATTGAAACAGTAAAAATAATCATTAAGGACCAATTCACGTTTTTTGCCCGCATGAACACTTGTATTAGTGCGCTTGTTTTCATGAATTGAGGTGCATTGTTTTAAGGCTGTACTTTGATTTGTAATTGGTTTCTCAGCACGCCTCAGCAAATGAAAGACTAATCTGCCCTATTTTTAACAACATATAACACAAAGCATTCACATCTGTGCATTGTGGTGTCCCATTGCACAAGAACATTTTTGTGACTCTATACTGTATGTGCATTGGGGTTTCATTCAGAATGTGCATACTACAGTGCACATCACTGTAATGTGCAGTTTACATTGTGTTACTCCAACACAACAATATGAATGAATCCTGTGAATTGAGACTATGATCTAGGATTTCCTTATAAAGATTAGCATATTATTCAGTTTTTATTATATAAGATATTTTACTAGGTGATTAACCCCTTCCCACCTGCAATCTGTATAGCAACATTACCTGGAATTATGACCTTTGTGGAGGACACATAAAAAACATTATCCCTAATGAGAGCTAGCAGCTGACAGTTCATGTGACTGCTATCTCTTAATTCTGGGGCTCCCACTTTTGATTTGTTCCTGATAAAGTGATTACTCTGTCAGCTTTAAAACAGTAATCACATGCAGGTAAGAGGCTCCACTGACAAAAATGAATGCCTTCTGTCTGCTGATGAACATTGCCACCTTCAAGTTTCAGTATTCCTCTGAAGTTCCCTCCGTTTAATAGTTAAACTGTCTGAAACATTTGCCTTGCTAAAATAATAAATTAATTTAAAACATAGAAAAAGTACAAGCATTATACATCCCTAAACATATCTGTAAAATAATTTAGGTATGCAAATTAGTCATAGATTTCTTGTTAGTTAACCAACATATGCTGACGCTGCAAAATTTGACCTGGGTATCTAGGCATCAATGACCGATGGATACAAAAGGGTTAAAGATATGATTGATTAAATTACAGTTTCTCACTCTAAAGAATAAATAGACACACTAAAAAAAACTCTGGATGGAAACTTAACCAGATATTTCTAGTTATTTGGAGTTTTTATTTAGTAGGTACTTACATATCTTACAGCAGCCATCAGGTAAGACTTGAATGGTGTCCTAAAAACATAATAAAGATACAATTTGTTGAAAAAGACATTCCAATCACATAAACACAGCAATACACTTCCACTGCCATCTAGGCGGGTAGCACTTTTACAGAATTCTTTGATATTCTCTAAGCTTGCAGCAATGCTCAATGAAAGAACCATTAGGACATAAAAGCAGTGTGTACAGCAAACTTTTACAAAGTGTATGCAAATCTTTCTGCAGCTTTCTTGAAACCTTTCATCTCATCTCTAGTTTGGGGATTTAAAAGGCTAAGACCACGTCACTGACCGTGTTTCATGCTACACCTATATTTAAGGTTAACACGAAACATGGCTAGATCGCATGAAGCTTGCTTAAAGCTTTGCAAAAAAAGCTTTTCATACAAGGCCTTAGGGACAATCTGCTAGTAAGAACTGTAAAACCAGACAGGGTTTAAAGCAAGCAACACAGCCCTGAGCAGTACAGCCTTTAAGTATAGGGGCAGATGACAGGGTTGGCTAATTAAAATATACAGGGGAGGAGTGTAGGGACTGGTAAAGGGAGGTAATGGCATCACAGAAGGGGGGCGGGGGTCACATTAAGGCAATTAATGAGGGAACAAAGGACAACGACATCCAGGGAGGATTGTTCCACCCTTCCACTCCTCTTATTGTGGACCAGAAATGGAGATGCTTAGAGTTGGATGTAATAGTTGGTTGGATAGTTAGGAAAAGAGTTATTTTCACAGCAACGTAAAGTCATAGGCGGTGCCAAAAGAAAAGAATAAAAGACATTTGTAAAGTTCTATTTGGGTGATAGGTTGTTGAATACCACCATCACATAAACTATGCTTGTGCTTCAATGGAGTTGAAGAAGGGAGTACTAGCAAGGTTTGAATTTTTTCAATGCAGTGAGTATCCATTGAGCTTGTGTAAAATGTCAGGTATGGGTGACAAACTGATTGTGATTTTAGAGGCATGGTCAAGGACTTGCTTTATTTAATATAATGTTTTTCCTCTGTTGCTTGTTAATTTTGTGATGTTAATATGGGCATATTTCTTACATTAAAGCTGTGGCCAAAATTTTCCATAGATAAAACTGGTGTTTTTGGAATATCGTGGGGGTGTTGGTTTACAATGGGGTGGATTTAGTATATTTTTTTTTTCAGTATTCAACACTACTCAAGTCATATCAAACTGAAGTGTTTGAGGCTGCATGTGGTCCTCGTTGGTTTCAAAATTTAGATTACAATGAGGCCTTAGATGTTCTCCACTTGATAAATGTTACACTTCCTTAAGTAAGTTTACAGATCTACCGGGAATTTTGCACTACTTACAGGTATACATTCATCTTCATTGAAGTTTCCACAGGTAGTTATTGAGGTGGATGTGATGAAATTGTTCCTGATCACATTGCACCTGTAGTTTGTACAGTTGTCATCATTTGAACGCAGTGTTTCTCCATTCTGAAAAAAAAAAAGACATTAGAGATGGTGGTTTAAACAAACTCTTGATTTGAAGTGTGAGGTCACACAACAAAACATAAAAGAGCAGTAAATATAAAAGACAACACTGCCTACATTATATAAAATAGCTATAAATAAAAATGATTTATTTGAGAGCCCCTCTCAGTAGCCTATCAGAACAGAAGATATTTCACAAAATACTGCGAGAGACGTTCCTTGCTTACTTCACACTATTCTCCTAAACTCATGAGCCTCAAAAGGTTATAAGTTATAAGTAGAAAAAACATTACTTTATTATCTCAAACATCATGTTATGTCAGGTTAAGTATGGGGGCTTCAACAAATATAGATGAGGTTAAGGTCCGCTGCTACCATGGGTTTACGTTTAAACCTGCGGGTTTGAGATATGCATTGCTGGCAAATTCTTGTGCAGATTTACTCAGGAATTTTTTTTAAAACCATATAGCAGTGCATGGCCTCTAAACTATGGCCAGTAGGCTTGCAATGGCCAATACAAGGACTTTTGG